TCCATCGCCCAACGTCGCCAGTCTCGTTCGTGCACCCGAGCCACACAAGCCGCAATCATCCGCCTTCCTGCAAAGTTCGCCGACGGTTACACGAAGCGTCGCAGCCCCCAGGCGGTGGGGCTGCAGCGCTTGGGACTGGTGAAACCGCTCTATAGATAATAACGACCAAACGGAACCATATCGACGTACAATTCGACGGTGTGCATGTGTCTCCTTTTTCGACACTGGTCCTCTTTCTTTTTATGATCACTGATTTCCGTCGAAAGCTCAGGAGAGTTCTCACTTCTGTGACGATCGACACAGTTCTTCTTTGTTGTCGATGGCAGAAAAGAATCTGTCTTCTGAATGTGCTACGCTCATGTAAGCATCACTAATCACCACTAAGACGTTTGTTTCTCCGTCCTTGAAAAGTGCCGCCGCGTGACATAATTTTAGACCTCTACTTTTGTCCAAACCTCTGCACATTGACTGTTAAGCCATCGCGCTGCATCTTCACTTGCCCATTACAGACCCTTCTACACCACAGCCGAGCGAGTGACCTGTGCACTGTCGGATATGAGCGTCTTCTGTCACAAACATTGACCTACGTCGAGTTTGTATCAGCACCACCAGATCCAGATGGCGACTTTTCACTGACACCTCTCACGAATGTCCTCAATAACTGCGGCGTCACGTTTCCACACACCGTTCTTTCAGTCCCAGGGAACTCCGCGTGCTTTCTAGTAGTCAATTTTAGTTTGATACTTAAAGTGCGGCTACAAGGCATCTCAGAATTGCTTTCGGATAATTTAGCATCCCGTATCGTTGAAATTTTTCTTGGGATACCTCAACGCAAAAAGTTTAGTCTGTCTGTATTTCTGTTTGTGTGTCTATCAACCAAAACTAGACAACTAGGCAAAAGTTCAACTGCTTTTTTATCGCCCACCAAGCTTGATCTGATGTTTGCATTCATACTTGGGTCACGGTCGATCTAAAAGCAAAATATTACGCATATCATATATTACAATAAATAGTAACACAGGTGAATACTTAAAGTTCTCTTCCGGTTACTCTACCAGACAACGTCATAAACACACTGTCGTTCCTTTCCAGCCCAATAATAATACTTTCAAGTATTCCTTTTTTCCGCGCACTGCCAAAGAATGGAATGAGCTTGACAGCAAAATTATTGAAACAGACAGTATCGAGGCATTTGAAAAATTTATATCTGACTAGTGTTTTTTTTCTTCGTGAAACATTTTTTATGTTGTTTGAAGTGCTTTGTTCTGTGTTGACTGCAGTATTGTACTGTTTGATTTTGTTGTACTATGTACACCCACTCTGCTATGGCCCCAAGTTGGGGCTAGCAGTATTGCTAGATAAATAAATAAATAAATATCTGAAGAGCAATATCATCACGTCCATCTTTCTTAGCGGGTATCTTTATACGAGAAAACACATTGATACGTAGTTCTTAAGACCACAATGTTTATTACGCCGGGATGACAGTGTGCTGCTATGCAGAAAGGAGCGGTAGGTCCCCATGCTTTGATAACACAATATGGTTCTGCCACTTACCCGTGGCTCAGTATTCTACAAGTTCTTACCTCCGAGATGGTGGGAGCATGCCGAACGGCCCCTACAAAAAGAGGCTATGTGCAGATTCTATCGTTTTTTTTTTCATATAACTGCCAGATGGCGCTCATGCCTTATGAAGTGACTGTAGGATCCCTTTCACCATTTTTTTGCCGCAAAACATTCAACAAACTTTTCATTCTCTCTCTCCAGGCAAAAGGCTATCGTAGTTAGACGACATTTGCACTGAAATGCACAGGCACGCGGCCATTTGTTTACCTTATAATACAACACTGTGGATGTTTTAATGGTGGCTGCGCGTTCCGATCCTCAAGCTATGCGGCAGTTCAATACTTGCCCTGGGAGTACCATTAGGTCAGTGATTGCTCTTAGTCATCGTGCGTCCAGTGTAACACGGCCGCACACTGACAAGCTACACCAAGCTCTGCAACCGTAGATGGATGTTTTCGATAGCAGCGGCCGTTCATTCTGGAAAGCAACTCGTGTAACCTACCACATCAACACTGGTGATCAGCCTTCTATTTATTGGCACCCATGTCGCTTGTCGGGGCTGAGTGCCAAATTATCCAAAGTGAGGTCAACTAAATCATCGCCAAGAAGATCACTGAGTCATTCTTCAATCTTTGGGAATCCACTGTCATTTTTGTGCGCAAAAAACGATGGCACATGGCGTTTCTTTGTCGATCTTCAAGACCTAAATAAAGTTTACCCTATTAAACGTTACTTACGTTCCGGGTGCATAGAGGTGGACAATTTTGACTGTTAGAAGACGGCGTTTATCACTACTGATAGCCTATGTTATTTCCAGGTGATTACCTTTGGCTTTTCTTTCTCAACCTCCAGCCACGTTTGAACGAGTGATGGATTTTCTGCTCAGAGGCTTTCAATAGTCCACCTGTTTATAGTGCTAAGATGCCGTTTTTTTGGTTCCTGACAACAAAAACTCATATAAAAACTCGCTTGTATGACATCTTAGACATCTTGAGTCACGCGTGTCCGCACCTTAACTTATCAAAATTTCACTTTGGCCACCATCAAAATACTACACTTGACCATTTAGTGCACGCTAACGAGCCTTCTGGGACTCTGTTCTTACTTCCCGTGCTTTAGGCAAAATTTTGCAAACATTGCGAGACCTCTTATGAACCTCTTGCGAGACCTCTTACGAGGTCTCTTAAAAACAGAAACGGGACCCATGGTACTTGATATCATCAGCCGCACGTCCTTCACTTCGTGGTTCAGGAGGGTGTTCTATAACACCGAAATTTTCATCCGGCTCAACCTGACCTTCTTATTGTCCTGCCTGAGTATTTACAGTTCAGCATGATCACTGAACCTGACGATGCGCCCAGAGCTGGACAACTCGGCGTACCTCGGACGAATGATCTCATACAGCGCCATTTCTACTGGCCAGATCTTGCTGGTTAGGTACGCCGATACGTCGTCACCTGTGAGTTGTGTCAATGTCGTAAAACTTCAAATATATAACCAGCTGGCCATCTTCAATCAATTGACGTACCCACGAAATCATTTTATCGCGTTGGGTCAAACCTGCTTGGTCCTTTTCCTGTATTAACATCGGAATACAAATGAAAAGCTGAAGCTACAGATTTTGTGACACGCTACGCAATTATGCGTGTTCTACAGCAGACAAGCTGTCCAACCTGGTTTACTGACTTTCTGTTACGGAATTTTGGATTATTTTACAGTGCCCCAAGAAAACTGCTCACACACCGCAACCATGCATTTATATCGCAAGTCGTCACCGACATCCTGCGTCCCTGTTTCAGTCTGCACAAACTGAGCAGTGCGTACTGCTCTCAAATCCATGGCCTCACAAAATGCTCTAATGGTACTCTCACGAATATACTCACTATGTACGTTTACCCAGAACACTGAGACTGGGACCTTGCCCTGCCCTACGAAATATTTGCGCTTAATTTGACACGTCAAGGCACAGCAGGCCTGTTTCTGCGTATTGTACGGAATAGAGCAGCTTTTCTTTCATAATAACACCCCAATCCCTTTCTCTCTCTCGCCTTTACCACTGGACAAACTCATCTCAGCCTATATCTCTTCCACCAGCGAGTATGCCGGTGACGCGATCGCGCGAGCCGATCATTCCCATGAGCTCGTCCGCGCTCAGCTGATGGCATCACGAATCAAACAACGTCGTCAGCACGATGCTTCATATCGAAGCATCCGGTACCCTTGTGCTACTTTGGTCCCTTCATAATCGGATGGACCTATCTCAAAACAACTATTATCTCGTTACACGGTACCTTACCAGTGACTTTGTAAAGTAACACCTGTTACCTACGAGATTGGCCCATCGATTTCTCATCATGCGCTCCGTCCAGTAACGTTGATCACATCACACGGCTCAACACTGCTTCTGAAACGCCCTTCAAAGCTGCGGGAGGGTGCTGCTGCCTCCTAGGGTAGTGCTATGTGCCTGTGGCGTCACGACGATTGGGCGAGAAGGAGGACGACAGAGGATAAACTGGCGCGAGCCGATCGCATATACAGCGCTGCTTGCTTGTATAAATACATCTGTACCTACTCCTCCTAGTTTATCCTTCCCGTAACAATACTGCCTCTACATCTGTAACAGTGCGACTAGAATAAAAATATATGTTCTTGCCGTATATAACGATGAAACACCTTGTCCTCTGGTTGTGTTCCTTGTTAACTCTTCTAGGCAGTTAAAGTGTAATATAAATATTGCTGCGCCCTTCTAGACCTTCATGCAGTTCAGATAAAAATACAAAAGTAATAGTATTAAAAGAATATCTGTCACTTTTTGATTTTTTAGCTTTTTTTCTTTTCATTACCATTTGAATTTATTGTCATTCAGCCTGAAGCGAACGTGTCCCTCAATCAATTTTCTTTCTTCTTGCAACCAGCCAATGTATTCTACTGGTTGATAGTTATAAAACTCGACTGCCGACTCATAATACGCGGTATCGAATCCCAGCTACGGTGGCCAGCTTTTCGGTGGAGTTAGAAATTATTGAGGCCTGCGTTTTTACATTTAAAAAGAGGGTTTTATTTACAGACAAGCAAAGAAGTAAGCAGGAGCGATAGTGTGCTCTAGCCTGCTACTCTACACGGGGGCAGCGTAGTGGGGAAGAAAAAGAGTAATGTCTGGCAGTAAGGAGGTGAGTTGGCAGAGTTTTGTCCGTTAGCACCTCAAAGTTTTCGGAACGCTGTGCTACTGCATCTCAGAATGATATCGTGGTTTCAAGACATTAAACTACAGCAATTATTATTGTTGAAACGCCTTGGTCGTTTCAAAAGAAGTGACTTGAGGTATAGCAATAGCACAAACACATACACAAAAGGAGTAAAATATAGAGGCTACAATGTATCCCTAATGAAAACAACACGTTTTTCTTGTAAAAAAATATACACACATGGAAGACTTGTAATTAGTTGTTTCATGCAAACACAGCTACGTGGAACATGTTGATGGAATCAAAGAACGTAGTCAAGGAATCTGACTCACCGTTGTCAATAAAGTAGGTTGTCTGGTCAGGAGCATTTCCTGCTAGAATGTCGAATGTGACGTTCCTCCTGGCAAAAGTATTAAATTATGAGTCTATGTTCCTTACCATTGTAACTAGCAGAAAATATAGGCCATAACAATGCAAGCTTACGCATTTATTTTTGATTTTCTGTTACTACAATACTCCACTCAGTTTACTCTTATCTGATGTACACCAAAAGGTATTTATTTATTGATTGATTCACTGTTTGTTTGTTTGTTTATTTTTATATCTGTTGCCCTAAATCGCCGAAGTACTACAGAGAGAAGCGTGTTACAACATGGAAAACACAAAACAGCAAACAAAACGTGCCACAATTTATACATGAACAAGACTAAGGCAAAACAACTTCTCTTTTCACTAAAACAAAACAAAAGTTTTAACGTAAAAAAAATTAGTGCAAATAGAAAATAGTGAATGTGCTAAAGGTATACAATAGTATCAAAATATGTAAAATTGATAAGAAGTGAAAAAAAAGTCAAGAATTTGCTAGAAAAAGCAGGCATCTCGCCAGGTGTAGACAGAAAGTCGTGGAGAGAGAAAATAGATTGGATGACTTGGAGCTACCTGGAAGTAGGTGAGCTGATAGTGAATGACGAAAGAGGAAGGGATCACAGATGGAAAGGATATCACCTGGTAGATGTTTCCAATCGTTTATTGTGACCGGTATGAAGGAGCAAGATATGTATTTATGTGGTGAATGCAAAAGAAATGATATTTGAGAGGCATGACCTCCCTACGCAGTAATACATGGTTGTAGGTCTTATAGAAAAAGCAAAGGAGGAAGTATTTCTAATATACGGATAAAGGTGGCAGGTACAAATGAGATTTCATTGCAGTTATGCTTGATTAACGGGGATAATGCGACAGAATTAGGTGTGCAGCGTTATTTAAAATCAACTCAGAATACCTAATCAGATTTATGGCAAATATGTTTTGATTGTGGAAAGTTGTCATAAAACGTCAGGGAGCTATCCTGCAACCTGCAGAAGCAGAAATAAGTATCTGTTTGAGGAACCATATTGAACAGCGATGAATGATCGAATGACTTAGTGAAACAAATCAATATGCATATTCTAAGTTTGAAATAGTGAACGTTGTACGCACATAGAACTGCTAACGTAGTCATGCTGTAATTTTCAAGGGGCTTTATCAAGTATGAGGCGGTTTCTGTACCACGGCACGGGCAGTTTTTTTGATACTATGAGTTTTATCGTGAAGTCTGTCCGCTATATATCCAACGTTTTCTCAAGGTAAACATCTCTAAACAGAATGAAACATGCATCTGGTGAAATTTATAAACAATTCATGCAAGAAAAGAAGAAAAGCCGACACCTAAGTAAAATAAACTTCCATTCTTTTGCATGCTCGCGCACACAATGACATACACCGCCACGAGTAGTGTTGAGAATCCACCAGCTTTTCTTTCAAGGTTAATATGTATTCTCACGTAAGAGACAACAGCGGCTTCAGAAATTAATTCTGGTCTAAACCAGTGTACTCTGACAGGAGCACAGGTTTTTTTTTTTTCGCAAAATAACGCATGCAGCTATTATTTCTGAGCACTATGGCGGAAGAGTGTGAACTACAAAGAAGTGAAAGAACAGAACACAGCGCTTTCACTCTCCACGTTTTGCACTTTCTTTGTGATGTTCATGAATGAATTTTTGCTGGTTGGTGCTCGCACCTCGGAACCCGTAAGCTCTTCTTTTCCAATTTTTTCTCCCCTTAAAAATGACCCAATGCCATAATTAATATTAACGATGTTACAGACATGTCTCACCGACAACTTCGGAAAAATTTATTGTGCGATTTAGTGTATACATTAGATGCCAGTCAAATTATCCTTGTAGATATAAATGACGACATGCATCTTTTGCGCTGATAGCTGCCATATATGCCAATGACGATTTATTTATATTTAAGTAAGTACCAATTCTACCACCCATCATGATTATTTATTGATTGATTAATTTGTTGGGTTTAACGTCCCAAAACCACCATATGATTATGGGAGACGCTCATGATTATTTATTAGCAAGAGTGTTTCGTACCAGCCATTTTCAAATACTGAGGCTTTGTATTATCGTTGATATGTATGCCTTCTTCAAGCCAATTAGGCTGCTTTCAAAAGAGTCAATCGGCCATTTTTCACAATTGAAGCTGTCCTTTCGTACAGATGAATTTCCTTGCGGTGCTCCATTTAGAGCACTGTAATGCTTCGCTATCGCCCCTAAAATGTATGTACAGGCACTAAATATCATCCTCCGCACAACATTCCCTTGTGTTAATTACCCTGATATGTTTTTGATATGTTTCTGGTTTATATCACGAATTCCTGTTGTTTTAAAGCTGATGTATATTTTGGTTGGCATGAATAGCTGCAGATGTCTTACTGTCACACTGTTCTGGGTGAAAATGTCATCGTGACCACGCACAAGTCGTAGTTTCTTCACACCATCACTGTGGCACAGCTGCATATGGCACGCAAGATCTGTTCGGACGTCACGAAAAATCACCAGTTTTGGTTGTATATAACCAAGGAGCTCATAAATGAATCAGCGGGGCTGCGATACACTGCAAACTGAGTTTTGCCTAAGTAAATGGTTTTGACGTAAAAAAAAAAGTATTCGCGGATGCCACGTACTGCAATGACATGTGAATGGGAAGATTCCATATGTCATAAAGGTTTTCTGAGACACATTGAAGCCGCATAAATCCACCATACTTCTACAACCAGTACGTTTTTCAACCTGTATTTTAAGAGACGACGAACAAGTAAACGTAGTGTTAAACAAGAACGCAGTCTTGAATCAAACACTTGACTAGCTCGATCTTGCCGCAGTAGGACACATGAAAATGCATTCCTTTTGGACACTGGAAGGCATAGCATAAATATAAGGCAAGAACTTTAGGAAAAAAATCACAGTTTTGGCGAACTGCCGAAGCAATAAATAAGATAGCAACCAATCGAACTGTTATGCAAAGTTAATATAAGAGATTTAGGAGCCAAACGAAATGTAGTCAACAGGGTAGAATGAGTTTTCGCTGGAGTTTATCTGGCGTTTCCTTCCTTGCCGCCGGTCGAGGCCGATGGTGCCAATGATAGTAGCGAAAAATGAAGTTCTTATGCACTTTCTCAAAACGTTGACTTCAGACTGTCCAAGATATTGCAATGTGCGAGTTGACGTTGAGGGCAGCTGTATGGTAGGATAAGCTTGCTTGCTTGTTCCTTGATATATGGCTCCCACTAACCACAGGAGACTTGCTACTTCTACCTTTCAGTGGAACTAGCTGTTTTACTTTTGTGCTGCATGGCTACAAGCGAGACATAAAAGCTCTGTTCAAGAACGTTTGTTTTTTTTAAGTCCACTGAAAGCAAGCCAGCCAGTGTTAAATGGTGTATAAATATTGCTCATCGTTAGTGAAATGAATAGAATGAGCAGCACGGCAAAGTTGATTAACGCAGCATGCCGAGGGGCGTGGGGTCACTGGTTCAAATCTCCAGTGGGCCTTTTTGGTCTTATTTCTTCTACTTTATCTCATTTGTGCCTTTCAGATATTTACGCCCATACGGGACAAGACGGCAACGGCGCAAATCAGCATATAGTGTCCATATCATTGCTATCACAAAAAAAACAAAAGGCACGACTAACTCATTGACAAAGCTGGTACAACTATTACTTGTTTATGTGAGCTACTTCATAAATTTTTAAGCACCTGATGTAGACCTGATGACAAGACAGAGCAAATTATCACAATGACCATCACGCCCTCGCCCATGTTGCACCAGCACCGGTGCAGTTATTGAAGACCATACGTTTTTCAACCCGTCTTCTAAGAGACGACGAACAAGCGAAGGTAGTGTTAAACAATAACGCAGTCTTGAATTGAACACTTGATTTGCTCAATCTTGCTGCAGTATGACACATGAAAATGCATCCCAATTGGACACTGCAAGGTGTAGCATAAATATAACTATAAGTTTACCATTGCGTATCGAAAAAAAAACCATGAAGTGTGAGCTGCGGTGGCAGCAGCGAAGCATCTAAATATAAGAACGTGGGCCCTAAGATTGTGAGTCACATGGCCATTGTGACCGTATTTCGGTGGCGGAGAAGTAAAATAACTGTGCACTGTGACTTTGTTGCAAGTGAAAACAAAAGCCTGAGGTTGTGAAAACTACTGGAACCTATTCCGGCGTGCCGAATTATCAGAATAGTGGTTTTAGAAAGTAAAACGTTTCAAACACATCGAAAACTGTCCAGTCTTATCTGCCTACATAACTACTTACCTCCGTGTGGTGTGAATGTCATGTCTTCAAATGCATAAAGCCACTGTTAGAGGTTAATGTTATTTTAGCTTTGCAGTACATACCCTGCTGTCTTCTTTATCTTTAAAGTTCATGCATCTTGTAGGCCTCAACTTTCCTACTTAATTAGGTACCTGTGAGAAGTAGCTGTTACGTACTTTTCTCGCACGGAGAGTGAACTACCACTCATCAGCTAAAATGACTGATAAAAGCACTCACCCTCATTATTATTCTTCTAGTTACCTTGGAATAGTAGTTCACACCTTCGATCACTACATGCGAGCGTAACATTTGTGGGTATGACGTAGTCTCAGCAACTACCATACCGGTTAACTAGAGAACTCAGCGGGCGTAGTTAGGCAAATTATCAGGCTGCAAATTGAATGTAATGCGCCTGAGAAAGAACGTAAGGCAGTCTTCATAATGCGGTTAAAGTAAAAGGTGACGCAAGAGATGTTAGAAAGCTCCGCCCCCTTTTTTTATATAGAATAAGCAGCAGCGTGGGTTCTATGTAATAAGAGAATCATATTTGCAGACAGTGCGACTAGGCAGAATAGCTTTGTTTTATTTTGCGATTATATTTCACCTACTCTTTTTATTTCATTTTGAAGTCTTCATTTTTTTAGATTTATGTTGTTTTATTTTGCAGACTTATTGATTTCATAGGAGATGTTCGGCATGAAGTAAGAATCCTTCTGTTGCCCTTCACCTCTTGAAGGGGTCGAGCATACAACACAAATATTTCTTTGTGACAGCACAGTGATAAAAGGAACGTTAAGAATTACCACGGGCCTCACACAGGAGAAATGGAGTTAAGGTTGCTCACGTAGCAGTGGCTGCATGGCTTCCGCCCAAGTGCCACACATAGGAAGCCTTCTTTGCTTCCAGATCAAAATGAGTTCTTGTTGCAGCAAGGCATTTGAACGAAGTGTCGTTATTGGAGGAGGATATGGCCACAACACGGGGAAAAGCACCAAGCATCTGCAACAACAGCCAGATAAAAGGTCGTTTCGACCAGCATGTCAAACAGTAACTCTACAATAAAAAAGTTATGACGCAGCCACTTTTACATTGTCCAACAAACTCCTCCTTCCGTATACCCGGTGGTGGGCGGAAGGGGCAGGGGACTTGACTGATTTGAAAGAGCAGTTCCCAGTGCCCTGTGGACAAGTGAATAGTGTGTCAATGTTATTCGTTTGAGGAAGTGATACATCCCAGTGGGGCAAAAGAATGGCAAAGCCTAGATTTATCTTCATATCTATACCCACTCAGCCGAACTCAACAATACATCTCCGCGGCGCTAAATTTGGTTTTATTAGGGGACACGGCACTGCCGCTGCGGATCGACGCTCACCCATCATGTATCTGCAGGTGCTGCTTTTTGCCGTCGTGGGCCAGCTGTCGTCTGCCTCATCGGATGGCCTACCGACTACAGTCACCGAAGATTCTGGCGTGTACTCGGGTACACCTTTGAGCAGCTTTTCCGCGCACCACAGCCCGTTTTTTCGGGTTTCGGATGGTTTGCCGCCAAATCTGGACTTTACGGTGTTCGCCGTCTGGCAACATGGTGCAACGTCGGCTGACCCACCCCTTCAAAAGCGCGCCGGCTGCATCGACACTTCGGGCCACGGCACTGCCGCTGCGGATCGACGCTCACCCATCATGTATCTGCAGGTTAGTTATTACAACTGTTGTTCCTACCGGAACGATGATATTTGCCTTTTGGTGGTGTCGTGGCCTTCTGGGTTTTTGAAATTTGCTCGGAGTGCAGCGCTGTTCCTCAGCCGCCTTTTGTTACTTCACGGTGACGTGGAGGAAAACCCTGGACCAATGAATAAGCCCCAGGAAGAAAAATTGAATTTCGTGTTCGATGCTATTAAGCGCCTAGAAACAACAACGCTACCTTGCTGGAATCCGTAAATGAGGTTTAAATAATACATGCTGCTATTCTAAACGATGTCGAACAGCTCAAAACTCGGGTGCAGGCTATCGAATCTAAAATGCAAAACAACAATAAAAGCGTAATTCTACCAACCCACGATCATTTTTCTACATTACAAGACAAAATCGACGACCTGGAAAATAGATCTCGGCGTTCCAATGTTCTTTTCTTTGGCGTAGATGATAAAGAACCATCTGAAACGTGGGATGCAACTGAAGGTCTCGTTAGGGACTTTTGCGCGTCAAAGTTAGGCATAACAGTAGATTCCGTTGCCCGAGCTCACAGATTAGGTCGTTTTGTACGGGACAAAAGAGACCCATTATAGCCAAGTTTTTCAACGATAGGGAAATCGAAGCAATTTTGAACAAAGGACCTAAACTAAAAAACACGCCCTTCAGCATCTCGCGCGATTACTCGGTGCCCGTTCGCGACAAGCGTCGAAAGCTTGCCCAGTTCAAGAGATCTGTAGCCAAGGAGGGTGACCGTTGCCGCCTGGTATTCACTAAGCTGTTCGTGAATGACGACATCTACGTGTGGAACACTGTAAATGAATGCGCTGTCCGATTAAGTCCTCGTGAAAACGCACACGCGGCGAAAACCCCCGTAAACGACACGTGCAAATGACGTGGCTCTCCTACGAGAATTGAGTGTTCTTCGCCTCTCGTACCCCGCCCGATAGTCAAACATTTTCCATTCTTGTTTACAAATATCCGTAGTGTTCTTTCTAAAACTGTCCCTCTTTCTTCACTGATAGACTCGTTGTCAGCATCAGTAGTAATATTAACCGAAAACATGGCTTAATGACACTGTTAGTGATAACAATATCTTTGTTTGTGCATCTGAATTCACTTTTTTCGTTACGATCGAAAGCACCGAAGGGGCGGTGGTGTCCTCCTTGCCGTCAAGAATGATCTTGTTGTTACCCCCATCTCAGTATGTTCTTTTCTGGAATGTGCCTTTGTTTCCTTGAAGTGTGCTGGTAGCCATGTTATAATTGCTGTTTTTTACCGTCCCCCCGATATGGGCTGCACGTTTTCGGATGAATTTTCTCGTGTTCTGGGCGATATTCACACCCGTTTTCGGAACGCTGTACTTAACATTTTCGGTGATTTCAATTTTCCTGCCATTAACTGGAGTGCCCTTACTGTTCCACCAAGTGATATTGAAGCGCACAAATTTTTGCAAAGTTGCCTGGACTTTTCTTTAACTCAACTCCTCAATTTTCCTACACGCTGCTCAGCGACAAGTTCAAATACCCTTGACCTAATTTTAACAAATGAACCCGATGTTTGCTTGAACATTAATATTTTTGATGGTCTTTCCGACCATGCGATTATTACCGGAAACTTGATTCGCCCACTGGTCGAAAGAATAGCAACTAACAAATCGATTAGGTGCTATAACAGAGGTAACTTTGATAGTATAAATAATGAATTGTCTGCCTTTTACGAAGAATTTATACATGGTCACCTCCAGCGCACCATTCAAAAAAACTGGTTGCTGTTAAAAAATAAACTTACTGGTCTCATCAATAAATTCATACCTGTCATCACGGTGAAAACCCGAAGCACGGTTCCTTGGTTTACTCAGCAGCTCCGACGGTTGAACAACAAAAAAAACGTTTATTTAAACAGGCCGTCCAAAAGGATACCTTTAACTCTTGGACGAAATACAAAAAATGCGATAAAGAATATCAGTCGCTTTTGAAATCTACTCGCCGCCATTTCTTCAACCATGATTTATCATCTATACTTGAAAATAATCCACGCAGATTCTGGCGCGTTGTTAACCCCAAATGTTATCCTGATATAGTCCTAAGCAATAACGATGGCGTTTCAGTTCCCACATCTCAATGCGCAGATGTCTTAAACCAGGCGTTTTCCTCAGTTTTTACCAGAGAAGACGTTTCAACCGCTCCCATATTGCATAGTTTCAGCAGCACAGTCATGCCGGAGATTGTTATCAGTGAGGCCAGTGTTCTGTCCCTTTTACAGAAACTAAAAATTTCTTCCACCTTGGATAATATAGGCTTAAATAATAAAATCCTGAAATCTATATCATTCAGTATCACCCCCTTCTTATGCGCTCTGTTTTCACAGTCTTTGTCTACCGGAACTCTACCCCAAGATTGGCTATCAGCTAAAGTCGTCCCCCTCTTCAAATCAGGTGAACGTTCCTCACCGCTAAATTACAGGCCCATTTCCTTAACTAGTACCATTTGCAAACTTATGGAGCATATCATACACACTCAAGTAATAAACTATCTCGAACGTCACAATATCATTTTCAATTTTCAGCACGGTTTTCGCAAGGGATTTTCATGCGACACCCAACTTGCCGGTTTTGTTCACGACCTTCATAAATCCATGGATGCTGGTTTCCAGGTCGACGCCATTTTCTTAGATTTCGCTAAAGCTTTTGACCGCGTTCCTCACCACAGATTACTACTAAAGCTAGAACAACTTAACATTCACCCTATAGTTCTTGCATGGATAAAAGCTTTTCTTTCCTCCAGGTCTCAATTCACCTTTGCTATGAATTTTTATTCTTCCTCTTTACCGGTAACATCTGGTGTACCTCAAGGCAGTGTTCTTGGTCCTCTACTCTTCCTCGTTTACATTAACGATCTACCGAGTTCTTTATCTTCACACGTTCGACTTTTCGCGGACGACTGCGTAATATACCGTAACATTTCTTCTGATTCGGACCGCTTAGCTTTGCAATCTGACCTTAACAAAATTAATCATTGGTGTTCAACTGGCTTATGTCGTTAAATGTTTCTAAAACAAAGTGCATGTCCTTTACTAACGCTGCTACACGTTTTCCTAGTCAATACTCGTTGAATAATATGACACTTGAGTTAACATCTACCTACAAGTACCTTGGTCTCCACTTCAATCGAATCTATCTTGGCACCATCATATAGAAGTCACTCTTGCAGCTGCTAACCGGTCTCATCGGGTTACTGAAACGAAATCTTAAACAGGCTCCATCGCAGTTAAAAAAACTTGCTTTTACCACTTTAATTCGCCCTAAAATAGAATATGCCAGTGCCATTTGGGATCCTCATCAAGCCTACATCGTATCAAATATTGAATCTTTGCAAAACCGAGCTGCTCGTTTCATTTACTCTGATTATTTCTACCTATTCCAGCGTAAATAACTTAAAAAAACCGTGCTGAGCTAGAGGATTTGGCCACTCGTCGGAAATATGCACGCCTATCACTTTTTCACAAACTTTACAATCACCCATCATTACATGACAGTTTCTTTGAACCCGGCCTGTTCCATCTTTCCCCGCCGTGATCATCCTAACAAAGTCAAACGCCCGCTATCTCGCACACTTCGGTTCGCTCAGTCATTCATCCCGCGCACTATTATTGAGTGGAACAGTTTGCCTGCACATATTGCCACCGAGAAAGGCTCGGTAAAGTTTTCAGAGCTCATGCGCACTACGGTGACTAACTAAATATTTTTTGCTTTTGTTGTTTTGTTTTCTTTCGTTTTTTAACTATTGTATAACGCCATGCAATTGCTGCCCGTATTCATGGTTTGTGCTTTGTTGCGGTTGTCAGGTTGCACTGTATCTTGCTGTACTGCTTTTTTTCTGTTTGTTGTATTGGCCCATGTATTGTATTCCCCATGTATTCTGTATGTTGTATTGGCAAACCATGTTGTATTGGCCCCCCCCCTATGTAATACCCTCTTCTAGAGGGCCTTTAGGGGTACCTGAATAATAATAATAAATATTGCGAGTAATTTCTTGCGAGTAATTTGTTGATAATTTCGAGTAATTTCTTCATAAACAGAGGGGCGCGAAAAAATTGAGGGACCCTTAAGCTTCTCCTTTACGAGTTGAACACGACAGTGAATCTGTCCCTAGTACACACCCTTCACCGCTAAGTGTGGCATACTTATTAATGTGTTTTGTTGCACACAACACACATGCACCGCACACACACCCCACACCCCCCGCACACACACACATGCACGCACGGCAAACGCACACTACGCACACACACGCACGCTCCCACACGCA